AGACTTTCCTTTACAAGAAGCTGTAGCTAAAGGTTTTTATGTTCAAAAGCGTTGCTTTCTCCCTTTGTTCCAAGATCGCCCAAAAAGGTATAACTTTGAAACACCTCCTGTTGTCAAAGAAAGGAGGAAACCTGTGAAGCTTGGGCAGCCACGGCCGCAAAAAGGTGGGCCGAAAAGAAGGGACGAATGGCAGAACAAACAAAGGCAAATACGAAGACAACAAACAGAAGAGAAGAAAAATAAAGTTATATAAAAATGGCTGTTAAGGTCTTTATTTAAAATGACAGAGAGAATGTACAACGACACGACACATTAGAATTTGTTAGGCGCAACGTGGGTCGCGGGCAAGGCAGGTGGCGGCGCGGCATTTCTTAATACTGTGATTTTCAAATCTCTTTATTTTCACAGCCTACTGCAATCCTTCTTCTCATAGACTTTGAGGTCAGAAGAGACCATTATCATCTAGTCTGACCTCCTGCACATTGCAGGCCACAGAACCTCACCCACCCCACTTCTGGAATAGGTCCTTAACCTCTGGCTGAGTTACTAAACACTGCCCAAGAAAACCTTCCCACAACAAAAATGTCTATCTCAGTTTCTGTCCTTCTGCTCTCCTTCACCAATTCCAATTTAACCTCACCCTGCCTCCTCAAGGAAAGACTCTTAGCACAGTGCGTAAGTAGTTAATTTTTTTCTCTGGCATGAAGGATTTGGGGAGAAGGATATTGAGGAAGGCTGAGGCTCTGGTTGTATTATACAGTTTCACCAACAAAATTCACCTCCTGCTGATGGGAAAAGCCATTTGTCTACACAAAATTATCTCACATCAATGGTTTTCTGAATATCCATTGATGAAAGTTATCCCAGTCCTCACTCAAAGTAAGTCTCCAGGTGTGAGTTGCATCAATATAGTACCAATCTGAATTCATAGCATTTCCAGAATAGCCGACTCAGTTTTATTTAAGGTAAACGCTTCAAGAAAAAAGGGAAAGTTGATTTTGTTTAACTATCTATAACCAATAAGTAAAGGGAGGTGACATACGTTAATAGATCCTATTTTCAATATAAGTTAATTTTTGTTTATTTGTATTTGTCTTATCTCAAGCACTTTTCTTCCCTTGTGTTAAAATTTTACACTAGTTAAATGTCCTTTCCTTTCCCAAGACTTTGTTTCCTAATTTGTTTTCTCATACTCTGTAAATAATTTAGTGTTAACTAATGTCTGAATGTTTCAGACTGCCAATATAATGCCTTTCAGGTGACTATGTAACACCTATCTTAGCAGTGAATATCCATGAGTTCAGCAATGCTACATTAATGGAATGCTGGTTCCACATACAGATTTCTTTTAATCAATAAGAATAAATATGTAGGCAAGTTTAAACAGTTTAATTTTATTGCATATTACAAGCTGTTAGCTACTTTTCAAATCATATTTATTGGAATGTTATGGACTCTCAAACAAAGGTAAATTTTTATGGAAAACTGAATACAAGTTTAAAAATAAATACTAACTGGATAACAAATTAAGCCTTGTAATGCATCACAAACCTACCCCTTCTCCCCCACCCCATTAAAAAAGTGCCAACAAAACCCTATCCTAATAGTACATGTAAAGGAGAAGAGCTATTTAAACTGTAGGACAATATTAGCAAAAGAACAAATGGATATAAATTGGCCACAAATAAATTTAGACTGGAAATTGAAAGGTTTCTGACCATCAGAAGAGTGAGGTTCTAGATTTGAACAGCCTTCCTCAACAGGATTTGTGGAACCAACAACCTAGTTAGTTCTAAAATGAAGCTTGATAATGTATGAATGGATTATACAACAAGGTAGTCTGCAGTAGCAGGGGTCTGGACTTGATGACCCAAGAGATCCATTCTAATTTTATGTCCTCAGTACAGTATATTAGCTTGTCACATCTATAATTTTTTACCAGATCAACAGACACACAACCTATTTGGAGGCAATATTAGCTCCATTAAGAACCTATTTTTCACATAATTTAATTAAATGTAAAAAGGTTTGTTCCTTCTCAAAACCCTATGAAAGATCAGAATTTTCTCCTCTGTACTTATTTTTTTTAAGCTGTGGTACCCATTCAATATGTGAGTCATTTTATCTGCAGAAAGATAGGGGGAACATTGTTCAGGTCCAAAAAGGATGTATCTAGATTTGTAAACCTTCACAAACCTGACCTGAGTGTATGTGCAGAAGGGGGACAGTGAGGCTTGGGGGTGGGCAGATACCAAAATTCCCAGAAAACTTGAAATCTGGTGAGGTTAGCCTTTCTTCGGACTTTAGAGAGAGCTGTGTGCAATACTAGCTGGGACACACACCTTTTATACTGTAACACTGCTCTTTTCTTTCATTTTAATTTTGCATGTTTTAATTTTGCATGTTTAAAATGAAGCATTACATCATTAGAGAAGGCACTGGAAGTCTCCTTATTGCCTGGAGAGACTGTCAGCAGAGTCATCTGTTTTAGCATAGGTATATTTACCAACGAAAACACTTTCAGGCCATCGCCCTTATGGAAATGTCTGACCTTTGCTCCTTCATGATTAGCAGTCCAAAGAGGACATAGGTCAGTGGATCTAGTTAAGCACATGGTTTACTATAAAATTGCTTACTTTTGAAAATATTCTGACACTTGGTCAGAAGGAATGCTGCAAGCTAGGATGTCTTTAGTTTTTCATGCCTGGCATCAAAATAAGGCAAAAGGTATTGCTATTTATTTAGCATAAATTTAGAATGTATAAATTACTTCAGTCACCCTCATTAAAGATTTTATGCTGTTCAGATCTCTGGCAATCTGAACTCTTTGCCCTCTGGTAGTTTCTTTTGGTAATGAGGTCTTGTTGCATGCAGCATTATTGAGAATGTTGTTGTGGTTTCACCTCGTAATAAGCCACCACTGAAAGTGCTTTTCTTTTCTTTTGACAACTCTTAATATCATTATAATATATTCTGCAGCTTATACTGTGATGGGAATTCCTCTTCACGGAGTTGGAACCATATGAAATCTTACTTCTAAGTTTCACAGTTTGAAAAATAATGTGACTGTCTCTCACAGGTCAACATGTCATTGAGTATTCCTCAATTTTATTGACACTTAGAGGTTTATTCTGAAAATACAGCAATTGAGAATTTTTGCCACCATGGTTATTTGGGCAATCAATAACAGGCACCACGTCTGAGAATCTAGGGAAGGGACCATTTTGAGGACAAGTATGCTCAACAGTGGGAGATTTTAGGCATGGCATGCTCTTCAAAACACTTCTCTCTTCCTAACAGCATCCTTTCAGTTTTACCTGGTGTCAGCTTTAGCCTGCAGCCCCTCATCCAAGTGTTGATTTCAGCAAGGCATTGAAAATGACAGGAGATGGTGCTTTTAAAGAGAGGTAGAGCTCAGTATCATCTGCACTGCCAGCATTTCAGACAATGTTTCAACTGCTCTTTGCACAGTTTCATATATATATGGGGGGAAATTGCCCTGGGAACTCCAAGAGGAGGGGCTTAGCAGTGGAAAACACAGTTGCCCAAAATATCCTTTTGTGTTCAGTCTGAGAAAAATGACCACTGCAAGACACTTCCATTCACCCCTGCAGTTTCTTGGAGGTGGGGCAGGAGTATCAATAGTACCAAATGACACAGACGTACATTTGTCTGTGGAGAGTAGAAGGTAATCAATTAGAGATACAACTGCTTTCTCTGCACCAGGTCCTGTGCTGATGCCTGCTAGAGAGAGGATCTCAGACACTGGCAGCTAACAGTTGGAACTTGAGACAGTTTCTTGAGACAGTTTGCAGAAATCTGTGCTGTAAGAATGAAGGGTAGGCTTGGGGCTGTGTGGTATGGATTCTGCACAGAGTGAGAATGAGGCACTGGCTGTTTGTGCACATGAATAGGGCGGTAGATAGAAGACGTCACTGATGGGGAAATCTGGACAGGTGAAATATGCAGAATAAATCCTTTGAGTGCACCCACCTCTGACAGACCTCATCCCCGCTAGGACAATATAAACAACCAACAGGATTGGCTGATGTTGTCAATGGGTAAGGTACTCTGTCCAGTGTAAAATTACTGGCTCAGTGTCCAGGGGCAAATCAAATTAGATTTAAATCAATTTTGTTTCTTTTAGTAGAATAACATTCTGATCCAGGGGCAGCAAAAAGAATTTATTTCCAGTAAACAGTGGCCTGAACAATGGTGAACTGGGCTTTAGCTAGCCAGAGTGCCAAGAAACTGTACTAAAAAATCAGGATCTATACAGTCTAAAGATCTTCTTATAGGACTTATAATTAATTGTGTGTGTTCCAATTAGTATTGTCTACTGACTGAAGTCCAGTGTCTAAAGACACAAACCAAGCATAGAAAAAATTGCTTTGCATAATCTCTATCTTATAAATATATTACACTTGTATTGTAGTTTATATTACATTTTATAGCAGAAGTTGAAAACTTTGTGGCACATACTTCAACTTGCAAAATCCTCACCCATCAACTGATAAACTGTAATTTCTATGCATTTAATTGAATTTAGAAATTGAAATAAAATTTTAAGAGTCCTATATTATTAAATAGTTGCATAAATTAATTTACTATGAACTATAAAGATATTTATGCTTGTATAATTTTCTTTTGGTCTATCTTTTAAAGTTGCCTGTCAGCCCCATATTTATAGATTTTTTTTTTTGTTTGTTTGTTTATCACAGGGAATATTTTCAGGTCTTTCAGGAAACATCAGATCTGTTCACTTTTCCCAGTGATAAGCACCCATCTGCAATATGTACAGCATAGCTCAGAGATTAAATATTTTTTCCCTTATACCCATTAATTCTATGTCCTTTGGCATGTGACTATTATCAGGGCATTCTTGATAAAATAGTTCTGTTTTATTTTATCTGGAGCATACCAGATTATCAGATTTGGCAATGTGTCTAAGAATGAGGTATACACAGCATTAAAATTCTCATCCCTGTTCCTTCTTAAAGGTCTAGACTTTGATTTGAAGCACAGATGTAAGCAAGGAGTGATGCATGAACTGAACTACTCTACAAGGAGCCTTAGCAGGTACTGTACCTCACACATCTCTGTCTCTCTACTTTCTCACAGAAGGCAGTAAATTATTGTTGGCCTGTACCAGCAGTAAATTATTACCCTTTGTCTTCAGCATGGTAGCTCAGCTATTCTGGCCAGCAAGTAAGGGGGTGGGTTGGATCGAAGGCTCCACTCATTTTTAGGCCACTCCCTGTCCACCTGGTCAGGAGAGGGTGAGAGTATGTATCTCACTTACTCCTGCACTCCCAGCCGCAAAGTCTGTAGCTTGTGCACGAGCATTCTGGGGGGGGGGGTATTTCCTTTTACCTCCTTTTGTGATTTGAGTCACAGTCTAGCACAAAGACAATATTATGTCCTTTCTTCAGCCTTGCTAAGCAGCCATCTAAGTGTGCAAATTGCTACTGTTCTTTCCAGTTTAGTAACGATTGATCACTTCCGCTTTATATTATGGTTTTATTTTCAAATAATTTTCTATGACTTATTAAATTATCTGAGACCTATTCCAAGTTTCTGGGTTCTGACATCCTATATGCAGCATTCAGGTTTGAGGTGAGTGAAATTTTTTGATCAACATTTTTTTTGCTGAAAAATGCTGATTTGGGTCAACTGAAACATTTCATATGTTTGTGTCGAATTCAGCGAATTGTTTTAGTTGAAACAAAATGAAAAATAAGATAAAGCTGAGTTCCTTTGACATTATCAAGAATGTTTCAAATCAATATGAAAACAATGTTCAGATTCAAATTTTACCTCAATTTTATTAAAAAAAACCCCTGAAAATGAAAAGAAAAATTGGTGGTTCAACACAAGATTTCATTCAACCCAAAAGAAGTTATTTTTATTTTTTGTTCATCTCAAGAATTTCAAATGTTTTATTTGCACATCTATACTGAGGAGTCTCTTTTTGAAGAGACTTGCAAAACTGAAGAGAGGAATGAAATGACTTCCCTACTTTTGATGAAGTTCACTCTTTAGATACTGCTAAATCATACCTAAGGCTAAGATTTTGTCAGTTGTTTTAGTAAAAGTCATGGGTGATAAACAAAAATTCACAGAAGCCGATGACCTGTCCATGACTTTTACTAAAAATAATTGTGACAAAATGGGAAGTGGGGGGGTCCAGCACCCACCGCTGCTGCAGCTCACAAAGGCTGAGAGATCCCCCTGCCACCCATGGTGGCTGGGAGCTGTGCAGAGGCTCAGAGCTTCAGTGCTGGCAGCTGGGAGCTGCGGGGGTCATGCATGGTGATTTGGAGCTCTAGGGGCTTCCTGCCACCCAATGGCAGCTTGGAGCTCCAGGAGCTGCCCATTGCCTGTGGCAACTTGGAGTTCCAGGGGCCACCCCGCCAGCTGCAGCTGGGAGATCCAGACTCAGTGGCTAAGATGTGCAGTGTCCCCTAGCATGACTCAGAGCTCTGGGGCTGGCAGCTGGGAGCTGCCAGGGGTGTCGACACCTGCAGCAGCTGAAAGCTCTGGGTCCCCTGCTGGCTGACAGCTCCAGCCGCGGCCCTGAGGCTGAAGCAGAAAATGTCACGGGTCTCTGGAAGTCACGGATTCCATGACTTCTGTGACCTCTGTGACATAAATGTAGCCTTAATCATACCTTTCAAAAATTATTTATCCCTCGAGCTCACAAAAAATACTTTGGAAGAGGAAAAGGTTTTACCCTTTACAATCACCAAATTGCACAAGCATCAAATATTTTCAAACACTTTTCCAGTGACAGGATAATCCTTCCTCCCCTTTTAAAAAGTATTTTGTGTATTCTATTTCATATAGCAGAAGATGAACTCTGTAACCTATTATCGGTATTCTAAGAAACCGAGAAACAAATAAGAAGCCACATCTTTATTTCAAAACCCAATTAAGGTTGCTCTGTGATGATTAGTTACTTATAACACCATTTATGTTTAGTTAAGGAAAAAATGATCAAATCGTTGGATAAAGTTTGGATCTATCAGCTCAAAGAGAGGAGATCTCTGCCAAGGTCTAACACAGCTTCCCCCCCCCCAAGTGAAGTAAATATCAAATACATTTTTATTCATATTAATAGAGCAGGATTAGGCCCAGAACTGCCATCAGTGGGAGCAGGATTGGGCCCCAAACCGTAAACAAAATTATTAACTTTGACTACCTAAAAAAGTAATAGGAAGTACAGGGATTTTCAAAGAAATTTAACTATATGGAAAGCTTTGCAGTAATAGCTGGTGTTGAAGTAGGGAGTGACAATGGAAGATTATACATAAGTCAGAATTTCAATACACACCACAAAATAGCAACAAAAACCCCAAACCAGAAAAAAACAAAAACAAAAAAAGACATTTAGCTCAAAATGACTACATAGAGCCACATTCCACCATCCTTGCTTACACTGAATACTTCCATTGATTTCAGATGTTCTTCCTGAATAATGTGTGTAATTATGAGTTAAGGATGGAAGAATTTGGCTCTTGATAAAGATTTCTGTGCTATTTTAGATTTAGGTTCTATTCATAAACACTCCACTGTTAAATGACATACACTTATAATTTTATGATGAATCAAAATCATATATAATGGTATAAAATTGTTTTAACAATAGCTACTGTATTCTCTCTCATAATATGCTTTATCACAAACTTTCATTAAATTGCCTGTGAGAAACTTTTGTAAAACTAATGTAGTTTCTGCCATATGCTAATATATTCAAGAATGTAGCTAGAAAAATTGATTCCTTTAAGCATTCCTAATGTATTCGTAAACTGCACATTACATTAAAGTGTTACAAGTTTATCTCAGCTGACTATGTCCAGAGGTGCAACCAGATTAAAAAAAAAGTTTGAGGATAACAAAAGTAAAAATAGAGTTAAAATGCAGGAAAGAGGAAACTCCAATTGGATAAAAAGAAAAGGAGTACTTGTGGCACCTTAGAGACTAACCAATTTATTTGAGCATGAGCTTTCGTGAGCTACAGCAACGTCTGAAAGTGTAGAAGGATAGGAAGAGGAAAAATGAATCCTCCAGGATTCCCCAGTGGGAGTATCTGTCATTTTTTGTACACTTCAGATTATTTTAATGCTTAGGGGCCTGATCGAAAGCCCAGTGAAGTCAATGGCAGTCTTTCCACTTACTTCAATGGGCTTAGGATCAGGCCCTAATTTAAGAACTCGTTCTTATACAGTGTTGAGCAACTCCTGGAGGTGCTGAGTGCTCTCAATTCCTACTGACCTCAGGACAGCCTTGTCCCTTTCAGTGAAAAACATGTCCCTTTACCCAACTAGCTCTAATACACACACCAAGACTAGACATGAAACCCAGCATCAGAAGAGAAATTAAGCAACTCTGTCAACATCACATGGGGAGTCTGTGGCAGAGCCAGAAAGCAACCAAGATCATCTGACTCAGTTATATTACTGGTTTCAGAGTAGCAGCCGTGTTAGTCTGTATTCGCAAAAAGAAAAGGAGGACTTTTGGCACCTTAGAGACGAACAAATTTATTTGAGCATAAGCTTTCGTGAGCTTTTTGTTCGTCTCTAAAGTGCCACAAGTTATATTACTGTTCTTTATATTGTAGCATCTGATAAAGGCCCTAATCAGGAGGAGAAGGAATTGGGGAAATCCAACTGCAGATGTATAGAATGGGGTTCAAGAGAGGAATTTCTCCTCAAACCTGGAAAAAGGATTTTGTGTGGATGGATAACTAGGCGTTGCAACCAAAATCACATGGAAGTTCTATTGTTGTATATGCAGCCTATTTTTAACCTTGAGTTAGAATACCAGTTCCAAACACTACATATACATGATTTCCAGTCACCATCACTATGATAGATACAGTGCTTTGGAAGAACTGTTACTAGCTTTTGTTGTGACAGATGGACACATGGAAAATTCAAAGACTCTTGTATCAATTTTATGTGTACCTTAATGGGCTGGCTAGTAATTGTTTTCCTGGCTCAATGAAGGAACTAAAAGCGTTGAGGGGTAACTAATGCAATACCCTTATGAAAGTAACAAGTCTGATGTTTATTCCCTGGGGGAAATAACATATTGGTTTGATTAATATATTTGATTCAAGTGGCAGACAAAGAACATATGAAGTGACCACCCCAACATACAACCCTTATATACAGATGCAAGACTGTGACCAAAAAAAGACACTACGTGCAAAACCTGAAATCCTTTGGAACCTTCCAGGGTCCCCATATGGAAGATGGGTAACACCAGAAAGCTTGATCTTCATGTAAGCTGTTTATAGTTTTAAAATATGTTTTCTACTAAATGCTTTTGTTCTGAATACATAGCACTTTCCTTTATGAAGGCTGCTGATCACTGAATAACCTTGGAATTGCCCTTAGAGAACATAATGGAAAGTAAAAACTAAAATCAGATGTATTGAGGTGATCAGAGTGAATTGCAGAAGTCTGCAGTTTAAGTTCCTGGTCTAGACAGTGTAGATTGCAGGATCCTGCCCCAAAAGAAGTGATGGCTAAATTCCTGAAACCTAAGTGGTGTATCCTCAAGGAAGCCACAAAAGGGTCAGTGGTACAGTTACCTCAGGGAACTGTGTTTACAACTATTACTTAGCAAATGCTACTAAGCTCTTACTCAAATTAGGCTTCTAGGTAAAAATTTAAGTTCAGCACCTGCATGGTAGCATTTTCTGAAATGCTTCCAGTTCCACACACAGTACTAGTTAGGCATAACTGCAAGCTTTCAAAATGTGTGCATGAGACAATGGTGTGGGGAGGAGGGATTTATGTTTATTAGGAACTGGGGAACTTTTGGGAAAAGAGGAGCCTGTACAGAAAGGATGAGCTTCACCTAAACCAAAAAGTTAAATGCTACTGTGGTGGGCTGCTTTGGTATTTTCTCTCCTATATGGATGTTAAATTTAATTATGTTATGGTCACTATTACCGATTGCTGGTATGTAAAATTAAAAAGATTGTAGAGGAGTTTTTAAACTAAGGGCTGGGGAAGATGTAGGCAAACACATGGCTCGGACAGAGACATCCTGGAGGGGAGGCTCAATTAATAGGGATTCTCTGTATCCTAGTAAAAAGAAGAGGATAGAAGTTGATAGAAGTACAGGTAGGAAGTGAAGAGAAACATTGAACTGAGAGAGTCCCATTCAATTACATCACATAATGGTAGACAACCTAAACATGACAAACTTTATACGTGCTTGTATACAAATGCTAGAAGTCTAGATACTAAGATGGGTGTACGTTAGTGCCTAGTATTGAATAAGGATATTGATATAATAGGCATTACAAAAACTTGGTGGAACAATGATAATCAATGGGACATGATAATAACCAGTGTACAAAATACATAGGAATGACAGAGTAGATTGTGTTGGTGCGGAAGTGGCACTATATGTGAGAGAAAGCGGAGTCAAATTTAATAAAAAATTTAAATGACTCAAACTGTACCATAGACTTTCTATGGTTAGAAGTTCCATATTTGAATAGTAATAGTATAGCAGTAGGAATATACTACCGACTTCCTGATTAGGATGGTGATGGTGTTTTTGAAATGCTACGGTTAATTAGAGAAGATATAAGAACAGAAAATTAAATAATGATGGAGGATTTCAACCATAGTTGTATTGACTGGGTACATGTTATCTCAGGATGGGATGTAGAGATAAAGTTTCTAGACACCATTAATGACTGCTTCTTGAAGCAGACCATTCCAGAACCCACAAGGGGAGAGGCAATTCTTCATTTATAGCTTGCTCAGGAAGGACAGGCAGGGAAAAAAGGGGGGAGATGTTGCCTTATATATTAAAAATATATACACTTGACTGAAGTTGAGAGAGAAATAAGAAACAGACTTGTTGAAAGTCTCTGGGTAAGGATAAAAGGGGTAAAAAACAAGTGTGATGTCATGATAGGGGTTTACTACAGACCACCAAACCAGGAAGAAGAGGTGGATGAGGGTTTTTTTAATCAACTAGCAAAATCATCCAAAGCACAGGACTTTGTGGTGATGGGGGACTTAAACTACCCAGAAATCTACTGGAGAAAATAACAGAGCAGGGCACAGATTATACAACAAGTTCTTAGAATGTATTGGAGACATTTTTTTTATTTCAGGAGGTGGAGAAACCTACTGGGGGGAGGCTGTTCTAGATTTGATTTTGACAAATAGGGAGAAACTGGTTGAGAATTTGAAAGTGGAAGGCAACTTGGGTGAAAGTGATCATGAAATGGTAGAGTTCACAATTCTGAGAAATGGTAGGAGGGAGAATAGCACAATAAAGACAATGGATTTCAAGAAGGCAGACTTTAGTAAACTCAGAGTTGGTAGGTAAGATTCCCTAAGAAGCAAGTCTAAGGGGAAAAACAATTGAAGACAGTTGGCAATTTTTCAAAGAGCCAATTAAAGGCACAAGAGCAAACTATCCCACAGCACAGGAAAGATAAGCAAGTGTGGTCTCTTGCCATACTTCCTAACCAGGAGATCTTTAATGATCTAAAATTCGAAAAAGAGTCCTACAAAAAGTGGAAACTCAGTCAAATTACAAAGGATGAATATAAACAAATAACACAAGTATGTAGGGACAAAATTAGAAAAGTCAAGGCACAAAATGAGATCAAACTAGCTAGGGACATAAAGGGAAACAACAAAATATTCTACAAATACATTAGAAGCAAGAGGAAGACCAAGGACAGAGAAGGCCCATTACTCAATGAGCGGGGAAAGACAATAACAGAAAATGTGGAAATGGGAGAGGTGCTTAATGATTTCTTTGTTTTGGTTTTCACCTAGAAGATTGCTGGTGATTGGATGTCTAAAATAGTGAATGCCATTGAAAATGAGGTAAGATCAGAGTCTAAAATAGGGAAAGAACAAGTTAAAATTATTTAGACAAGTTAGATGTCCTCAAATCACCAGGGCCTGATGAAATGCATCCTAGAATACTCAAGGAGCTGACCGTGGAGATATCTGAGCCATTAGCAATTATATTTGAAAAGTCATGGAAGACATGAGACATTCCAGAAGACTGGAAAAGGGCAAATTTAGTGCCCATATATAAAAAGGTAAATAAGGACAACCTGGGGAATTACAGACCATTCAGTTTAACTTCTGTAGCCAGAAAGATAATGGAGCAAATAATTAAGCAATAAATGTGCAAACACCTAGAAGACAATAAGGTGATAAATAACAGTCAGCATGGATTTGTCAAAAACAAATCATGTCAAACTAACCTGATAGCTTTCTTCTTTGACAGGGTAACAAGCCTGGGGTGGGGGAAGGGGGAGATGTGGTATATCTTGACTTTAGTAAGGCTTTTGATACTGTCTAGCATGACCTTTTCAAAGACAAAATAGGGAAATACAACCTAGATGGAGCTACTATAAGGTGGGTGCAAAACTAGTTGGAAAACCATTCCCAGAGAGTAGTTATCAGTGGTTCACAGTCATGATGAAAGGTCATAACAAGTGGGGTCCCACAGGGATCAGTTCTGGGTCTGGTTCTGGTCAATATCTTCATCAATGATTTAGATAATGTCATAGAGAATACACTTATAAAGTTAATGGATGATACCAAGCTGGGAGGGGTTACAAGTGCTTTGGAAGATAGGATTAAAATTCAAAATGATCCGTACAAACTGGAGAAATGGCCTGAAGTAAACTGGATGAAATTCAATAAGGACAAATGCAAAGTACTCCACTTAGGAAGGAACAATCAGTTTCACACATACAGAATGGGAAATGACTGCCTTGGAAGGAGTACTGCAGAAAGGGATCTGGGGGTCATAGAGGATCACAAGCTAAATATGAGTCAACGGTGTAGCATTGTTGCAAAAAAAAAAAAGAAAAACATCCCAAAATTATGTTTGCATTAGCAGTATTGTAAGACACAAGAAGTAATTCTTCCACTCTACTCCACGCTGATTAGGCCTCAACCGGAGTATTGTGTCCCGTTCTGGGCGCCACATTTCAGGAAAGAGGTGGAGAAAATGGAGAAAGTCCAGAGAAGTGCAACGAAAAGTATTAAAGGTCTAGAAAACATGACCTATGAGGGAAGATGGGAAAAATTGGGTTTGTTTAGTCTAGAAAAGAGAAGAATATGAGGGGACATGATAACAGTTTTCAAGTACATAAAAGGTTGTTACAAGGAGGAGGGAGAAAAATTGTTCTTCCTAAGCTCTGAGAATAGGACAAGAAGCAGTGGGCTTAAATTGAAGCAAGGGTGGTTTATGTTGGACATTAGGAAAAACCTCCTAACTGTCAGAGTGGTTAAGCACTGGAATAAATTGCCTAGGGAGATGGTGGAATCTCCATCATTGTCCAACCTGCTCTTAAAAATCCCCGAACACCTTTTAGGGATGGTCTAGATAATACTGAGTCATTCCTTGAGTGCAGGGGACTAGACTAGATGACCTCTTGAGGTCCCTTCCAGTTCTATGATTCTATGATATAGTCCTTAATGGAGCACAGGATCTGATTCAAGAGGTGAGTATAGTTGAACTGCTTGATAATAGTGACTATAACATAATTAAATGTAATATCCTTATGGAGGGGAAATACCAAAGAAGCCCACTACAGTAGCATTTAAACTCAGAACGAGGAACTACCTAAAAATGAGGAAGCTAGTCAAGCAGAAATTAAAAGGTACAGTCACAAAAGTGAAATCTTTGCAAGCTACATGGAATTTAAAAACAAAACAAAACACTATAAGAGAAGCTCAAATTAAATATATGCCCCAATTAAAAACATAATAAAAGGACCAAAAAAGTGCCACCCTGGCTAAACAACAGAGTAAAAGAAGTGGTTAAAGGCAAAAATCATTTTTTTTTTAATTTGGAAGTCAAACCCTACTGAGGAAAACAGAAAAGAGCATAAACTCAGGCAAGTCAAGTGTAAAAGTACAATTAGTCAGGCGAAAAGAATTTGAAGAGCAACTAGCAAGAGACACAAAAATTTAACAGTATCTTTTAAGTACATCAGAAGCTAGATGCCTGATGGTTAGTAGGGCCACTGGACGATCAAGGTGCTAAAGGAGAACTCAAGGAATACAAAGCCATTCCAGAGAAGCTAAATGAACTCTTTGCATAAATCTTCACTGTAGAGGAATTGAGGGAGATTCCCAGAAAAGAAAATATTCTTTTTTTATGTGACAAATCTCAGGAACACTGAGACTGAGGTGTCATTAGAGGAGGTTTTAGAACAAATTGATAAATTAAACAGTAATAAGTCACTAGGACCAGATGGTATTAACC